TGATTGACATGACAGTGATTGACATGACAGTGATTGACATGACAGTGATTGACATGACAGTGATTGACTTTTTTTCCACGAAAATGATTGACATCATGGTGGCTGACATGATGGTTGTTATAATAATGACAGAAATACTGGTGATTGGCATGACAATGACATTCATTTAATAACTTTCACACATTAATAACTTACCCAAATTTTACATGAGGAATGTAGCCATTGACAAGATCAGCTGTCAGAGTGACTGCTCTACCAGTAGGTATTCCTTGTGTGTCTGGGTTTGCTGTTATTTTAAGACCTGAGAGCTCTGCAATTAAATTTTAAATAAAGAGTGATCTTTTTTGAAGACAACACATTACACTTCCTTGCAACAAGTTAATATTTAATCAATAAACAGTAAGGGAATAAGAAAGAATAATGAAGATTTAACTTCACTAGCTCACTTTTAACAGGACAAGGTGTATCTTTGGGAAGAAAAGTGGCTTCCTCTCCACCAACACAGGTATCACCAGGAATCTTKCGATATCTAAATAAGAATGTTTCCATCAGGAACTTTGTTTATTTGAACAACAGAAACACAATGCACATTGTAGTATCCAAATATTGGCAGCATAGGAATAATTAATACATCCTGATTCCAAAGAAATTGAACTCTCTTCACAGTACATGGACTGCTGTCGTTATTGTTAATAAAAATTATAATGGTCCCAATAGTATCTGTTATCATAAAAACAGTCGAATGTAATTGTAATGTCAATAAACAAGAGATTAATGAATAAAGTAAAGGATTTCTGCCATTCTTACCCACTAGATCTTTTGTATGTCTTTCCTTCTGGGCAAACGTTAGGAATAAGGTCTGAATCTAAGTCTTCACCAGCCACAGGTTGACARATGAAATGAGAAGCATTTCGCTCAAAACCAAAGTCACTATTGACAAACAGCAGTTAGATCTTCAGAATTGCTGTACTGACATGTAACTTATCCCAAAGAACAATAATAATGCATTGCACTTTGAGATTTTCTAAGTAACTTATGTTGCAGTGGCATTATACAAGTTGTTGAACAACAGGAGTTCATTGTCGAGCAATTTGAATTGGTAGATATTATTGTTTTACATAGCACTGTGTGAGTAATATGGTATGCTTTTTGCAACRCATTATAGCAGCTTGCAATACAACTAGACATTTGTATCATACTTCCACTCAGTTCCTAAAAATATTCAAAACAGAAAAAAATAATTTACAGTTATTCTAGAGTACTGACCATTCAAAATCATCAATTGTACATGGGCAATTGGTTTGGACCTTAGGCACATTATGATTCTGGTCTAAGTAGCAYGTTTTTGTCCAATTTCGAATGGTGTAATTGTCAGCTTTACCAAGTTCACATTGATTCATCCCTGCACCAGGCACCCAATACATAAAATCTGACTTTTGGCATGGTTTACCTATTTGACATCCAGAACAATTTATAATATAAGAAAGATGCATTCACTTTCATTGCAAAATGGATTAAATTGGAAGATTTCAGTGAAACTTGACCAAGACAGGAACAATATGTTGTTACTTACCTAGTGCACTGGTCACATTGACATGATAAATTTTCCATGGCTGTTTTCCAACAGGAGTTCCATACACCAAAAAATAAGGCTGCTTCTCACCCTTTTGTGTAACTATGTCATGAACCAGAACTTGTGACTTAGAGAATGGAACAGATGTGAATGAGCTCCCACCATTTACACTATATCTAAAATGTGAAAAGATAAGTTAAACTTTAACCACAAAAGAGATTCAAGGTATGTAGTTTGAAGGGACTTCAAAAGTAAAATCCTTGTAGGTTTGAAGATTTACTTGTAATTATTTACTTAGTATTATTTTATACTACGTTAAAGCTTCTCCAAATCCAATTCATCAAACATGAAAGTCAGAATGGTTATACACCTACTTGCAGAAACGTTGTCATAGAAAATAGAACATTCGATTTTAGTAAAAAGGAATAAATTAAAACAAGACAAAAGAAAGCGTTCAGCCTCAGTGATCTTCTTTTGTCTTTTTAATTTATTCCTTTTTACTAAAATACAAATGTCCTATTTTTTAYGACAACRTTTTCGCAAGTAGGTGTATTTCACTACTCTAAACAAAGCTAAAATTTCTTTTTTCTCTCTMTCTCTCTCACTCTAGATTTCTTTTGCTCTCTTTTTAGCAAATTTCCATCTGATGTACTCAGTGCTTAGCCATGAATAAACAAACAAGTTAATCATCTTTTTTWAAAAAACATGCAACTTTGAGGAACATGCTAGATATTGGAATAAAACTTACTTAATTGAATTTGTGTGACGTCTGAAGTATGCTGCCACAATTGCACCTCCATAGTTTCCAAATGCATATTGATGTTTACCACGTAAAACCTAGAATCCAAATAAAATTCACAGCTTGGTTAAAGTACTTCCAATATTGTGTTTTGCTGCACTCATATACAATTTAATAGTAGAAACAAGCATGCTAAAAAATATTGGATACAGAAAATAAGAGAGYTTTTTTAAATATTATCTAACACAAACTTTCTTTGTAGAGTGATCGCACTTTTTAAAATCCGTGCAACTGTACAAACTAAATAGTTCTTCTATTTAGTTGTATTAGTAAATCGTGCATGCGGTACACAAATTAAATCGAATTGATACAAATGAAGCATTCAATACCGCGCCRTCTTGCTTCAYGACCACTTTTAGTTCAAATTTGTACTACTTAGATTTTGTACAGTTGCATGGTTTAAGTGCGATCACTCTATTGAGTGAACAAACTTAACCTGTGAGATTTTTTACTAATGTGTGCAATTTGCTTCACTTGAAGGAATTAGACTACAAATTTGTGCTATCTTATTTTTGTACAATTTTACAGACTACATGTGATAGCTTTTGGATAATTATTTTAATACCCTTTCCCAGTTGACTCCACCATCAGTTGATAAGAATGTATCAGGATGAATCTTGAGGTTTGTACTTGCTACACCTGGTTAGACAAGAGTTGAGAACTTGATGACAAAGGTGACCAGTGTACAAATAACAAATGGAAGTGGTAAGTAARGCAATTTTGACATTGCTTAAGATAATCCCTCAATTCTATGTCTTTGTTTCACTTTATTACGAGATTTGTTTTGTCAATTTTATGGTAATGGTTGACCTGAAATAGCAGCCCATGATTATGACAAAAATGGCATTGATATTGTAAATTTAACCGCAAATTCATTAACAAGAATGGCAATACTGTTGACTTACAACAGAATGGCAATATCACTAAAAAGAAAAACCCGATACTTACCAAGACCCAAAACCAGCCCAGGTGCAGARTCACTAGATAACAAATTCTCAGATGGAGATATACGGTATACACTGCCATATTTTAAGTTAAAATGTAGCGAACAAGAAGGCTGCATACACAAGAAAAAAAAGAGGATTTTAAGCTACATCTAAAAATAAATGTTATCATACAACATGGATCAGTAATCATACATCTTCATTATCATACCATGTAACAATAGATTGACATTCCCTTGATATCCCGGGTTGGTGACCTGATTTTACCCCACGATGCTCCCTTGTTATAAGTGATCATAGATAAAAGATGCCGTCTTCCTACTGGACCAGGTGTAAGTTGAGTTGCAACATAAATTCCCCTCATTGAGTTGACCTTGTACACATCAACAAACGCATATTTCACCAAATCCCTTAAAAGACAAAAATATGATCAATGAAACAACACACAGAAATGAATACTATTTTTGTCTGCAAATATGAGATTTTTAGATATTTGATTTCTTTATGTTTTGATAATAAAAACATAAGCATATAATATAATGTCAGTCCTGTCTCACGCCATCATGGCCTTTTGAAGCAACTTTCTGTCTGTTTCCTTTCCTGTCCCTTCCCCAGTTAGGTGTTCTCAAGTCCTAAGCTTTACTGGGCAAGTTTTACATGGTATTAAACACTACTTTATGTACCAGTGAATGTAAACTTTGCTCATAATTATTTTACTGTTTCAATTGCAACAACGTTTAAATACTATCAATTCTATCATGTTTGACTCCCATTTGATGCAAAAATGCACCTTWCCCCCACCCTATATAGTTAATCTTCACCAACAATTCCTGGGGTCAGCAACACAGGAAACCTGTGCTACAATTTCTAAACAATTGGCTACTTATTTCCACCTTGCACAGCTTCACTTAAAGCACCAATTTGTAAATTAATTAATCCATTGGAAGACAAAAAAAAATTGTTTTTTTTTAAGCTGAGACTCACTCTTGATTTTGAATGGGAATTCTGTCATTGGATAGAAAAGAATAACATAGAGAATTAGATTTTAGCTTACTTAAGCCATTTGGATGATACATCTGTGTATGGGTTATGATACAGAACTCTTGGTAAAGACAGTGTGTACTTGACGCCACCAACATCAGATAGGTATAAGTTTGATTCATTCTTAAAATGATTGATGACTAGAAACACTTGATCACTGATTACATCATACACAAAATAATCCTGCAAAGAAAATACATGCACTATGTTTGAACAAATCAAAATTCAAATACATCTCTTCAATGAGGCAAAGACTGCACAAGCACAAATAACAATGARCAAAACAAYGATAGCCTGTTCAGACTATTCTTACAGCTTCTTCTCAAGACAGACAATGCAATCTTTTCAGAAAAGACTGCTTTGTTTTGTTTTCTGAATCAAAGGTTTTTTGCTCCTAATTTATTGACCTGGAACTTCTAACTATTATTTCACAGCATTAATAGATATAACATGGTAATTATGATCATACCCTGTTGTTTTCAGTGACTGGAAATTGAGCATCAGTAAAGGGTCCTCGATTGTGGGAAACCTTTAGAGTGGTCTTACCACTTGGCTAAAACAAGAACATTAATTGAAAAAAAACAGTATTACATAGTTTATAGTCATATTTCAATACTTAAAGTCTCCTTCATGGCTCCCTGTGCCATGTTGAAAGGTATTAACAATTCCTTTGCATTAAAGCGAGACAACAGGTGAGCATGGAATAATAAAAACCGTCTTTGATGCCCACAGGCAATAATTACTCATGATATTCATTGAATGTATGTTTACATTTCAAGGAACCTTAAAGGAGACTATTAGACAAATATTAATCACTGAAGACACAAAGACTGACTGACTGACTGTTGGGTAGATGCAAAGGCTGAAACCCAGCATAATCATATGAATTAAGAACAAAACCCATGTAACAAAGTGAAACAAAAGTACGTTATTTCAACAATTTGATATGTTGAATGCGCATGTTGCTGAAACATTCATTCATAATAGTACACTCCGTGCTTATGCCTCACTTCTATCTGACCTAACAAAGAACACAAAGACTCACCAAAGTTTGAGTTGCAAACATATAATTTTTCATAAGTTCAAATTCATCAATATCATCCAGAAGATCATTTATTTGAAAATCCACCACTTTAACAGCTTTGGATTTCTTTGAACCTGAAAAAAAAAATTAAAATTAAATTTATTACTTCAAATATTAGTTTGCCACTGAATATTCTAATTATTTACCTGTTTTGAGTTTTTCAATATAAATTACATTATTAGAATCTTGACCTGGTACTCCCCTGAAAAATCAAGAACCAAACATGAAATAATGCTACTTCATTATAAAACATGAAATGCTACTTTCAACCAAACATGAAATGCTACTTCATTATGTCAATATTCTCTTTCATGGTTCCCTGCACCACCTTGAAATGGAACCATGCTTTTGCATTGATGCAAGACAAGCAGTGAGCATGCAATGGATAGAAACCTTTGTTTACATCCATGGACGATAATGTTCACAGGACTGGTATCTGTCACTGCAAGCTCACTAATGTTCTTGTTATAGTAAACAACTTGGTTGTAATGAAAAAGAATGATACACTTACCACCAAAATGACYTGACTTGATCAGTTATCTGTCGAAAAGACTGTCCACCATTGATTGACAGAAAAAGCTGCCAAAAAATGATTAACATTAAGTTTTATTCTTCTTGAAAGATGCAGATATAAAACTACAAGGTATAAAAGTMTCATTCAAAATCAAAAACTCTCAAGTAAAAAAAAATAAACATAGTGGGTAACTTAACTGCCTATATGGAATTTACCAGTTATCAGTTCTGAACATAATTATAAAACACAAATTAATTGACTGGTGAAGGGCAAATTTGAAATTGAGCTTTTCTGCTAGATACGAATTTATCGAAATGTCACTAGTCACTCATTATACAATTACATACAGCCTCTGCATAGGTCAGTTTGTCAGTTTGCATTGCATGGAAGTCTAGGTTCAGTATAAACATCTCTTGATGCTGCCAAATATGGTTTTGTTTGTACTGAAGCTAGACCACAATGCACCATGATTTTGTATTTCAGAAAAGGTCTATGGTGTCCCACACAAGTCATGTAATGTTCTACATGTATTGTACCTTTTTTTGGACCTTATCATATCCCATGATCCTTTTAGGATCTTTAGGGTGAAAGGCAATGTAAGATGGTTTCCATGCCAATGGTCCATATTTTTGAAATGAGACATAATTATTACTGATGAAAATAWAGTTATTTTTCACATCTGTCAGGAAACACTGCAAAAAAGATGAAAAAATACAAAGAAATAGTGAGCAAAAATTGCATGATCTAAAATGTTAGGTATCCTACATGGCTCTTTCTACACAATCCTTGTGTCCCTATAAATATTGTAAACAATAAATGTTGAGGTGTATTATTTAACCCTTGATTCCTATGATGCCTGCAATCATTAGCAAATAATTGTCTTCCTGTCCGCACTAACATATTCATAGAAGGTTCCAGCTTCCATTTAACTAAGGGGATCGAAGCAGGTGAAGTGAATTTAACAATTTCACTGAATTAAAACATCATTTTTAAAGCTAAATTGTARACTGCATGRTTGACCTTGTCTCCACAGTGTCATGGAATTATTAACATCTCCAGCGGATGTCAACCATGTGTTTTGATGGTGATATTTTGTGAGTACGCCACGTTGTTCATTGATCCATGACAAATGATCACGCCTTCATGTCATACAATCACTCAAATTCAGTGAAAATCGTTTAGTCTTCATTTGACTTGAGAAACACTCGATATTCTAACATTTATTACTACTGTGCTACCAACAGATCAAGTACATATTTTGATTCAGAACCGGTTTTCAAGATATTAATTAATCAAAACAACCACTAAGAATTATGCATGGTTTTTACAGGCAGACATACAAAAAGAAATTATCATTTCAATTGATGTACTAAACCACATAAAAAAACTACAATATTGTAAAATTCTTTGCTGAAAAGGAAACAAACCAAAATCCCACCRGGGCAGTTGATACGTGACGCACTTTGCAAAACTTCTATCAAAGGAAGCAAGTGGCATATGGGACATTATGTTGCTTGTGGTCTTCCAAAACACGCAATTTCCGATTCGACCACAAGGTCGCCAAGTTCAGGACTCGAGACAGGATGTCAGCAAGCMGATTGTTGAAGAGTTATTACCCTATATTTTGATTGTTTCATCATCAGTATGGAGCAAAAGCAAGATATAAGCTTACTAGTAAGCTTATACTAGTAAGAACGCGACAAAATGGACAAAATGTGTTGGGTTTTTCTKACGTCATTCAATACCGAAGTGATACATTATGTTGATTTTCATTAATGACTGGAAGTTTTATTCGGTTGTGGTTAAGAGGAGAATTCATCAAAYGTTCATTCACGCTACTGATCAATAGGCAAGCATTCTACATGAATACATAAACACGTGCTTGATMAGAAGCCATGCACTGCAACAACAACATAAGATTTGATTTACGACTCAAATTTTATGCACRCATTTCTACTACACTCAAAAACCTCTCCGCTTTTTTATTAGATGAACTTATATTTATCATAAGGTTACCTACCAAACTTGGCTTAACTTGGCTGACGTAAACTTGATCAATGACAACATTTCCCCTATTGAGCTTCGAGTTGAGTTTTGTCCAATTTTTGCCAAAGTTGRTGGACAAATATGCATTGGCAGATATACTGTCACCATTTCTGTCTTTCTTTTGTGCAAGGAGAATTATCTTATCTTCAGCCCAATGCTTGTATAAAGTCCTATCGTAAGGTTCTTTGGGTAGGTCAGACTGTAAGAGAAACACAAGTTTGGCGGCATTAAATAACTTAATGTACGCAAAACAGATCAACAACAGCGTGAAATCAAACAGTCAAAGCCCTCAGACTAATGTCATCTTCAAACTACTTGAACAACATTTACCTCGACAATACTAGGAGAAGATGRAGATACTGAAACACCTCGGCGTGTTCTCCTTAAATGTTTTCCTGCTTTAGACCACACATCAGTCATACTCATGTCCGATTGAGTAAAATCTTCTGAATCCTGCCAGCGTATTTCATGCGCCCCTTCAGGCAAATGAGCACCCTTCAAASCTGGAGAAAATAAGTTTGTAGGAATGCTAAACGGCCTATAGGCAAAAGAAATGCCTGAAAACAAGAGAATGGCTAATGCTAGGCCAATTCCTCCGCACACAGCCATTTTGCGAGTAACTGTACGTGATCGTCGCTAAACAGCTCTTTCAACCGTATTGTATAATAATAATGTGCTTTAGCYGTCACCGGATCGAGGCTCCAGCTGATAATGATCGCTGTGACAAATGAATGGTCTATTATTGGAGACTGCAGGAATAACGTGATCGCTAAACGGTGTTAATGTGTTTTATAATATCCTGAAATTCGATATTATCTTTTGTTCTGAAAGAGATCTGAAAGAGATCAGAAAGACTCTTTTAAAAAACAGGAATTACAAATATATAAGTCTTATACTGCATAAATTTTGCATATTATATATATTGAAATATTGTCATTTTACCGCGGACCAGAATATTACAAAATACAAAGGCTAAWGAAGAAGTAAACAACAAAGGGAATACAAAAAAGTTCAAATTCAAAACAAAACGAAATCAGATTTCCAGTTATATATGGAGCTCTTTTGCGGACAAAAATATGGAGAATTTATAAAATGATAGTCTAAGGCTCGAAAATAATGAGTCAAAAATGTGAAAAAACATGTTAGAGTTTCTAAAAAATTGGTCGCAAATTCAAATAGATCAGCATGYRGAAAAGAGCATATAAGAATTGTGATTAGATATTCAAAATCGAAAGCGCACAAAAAAAGAACATGAGTCGAGATGAGGCTGGCAGAACAGGAAGTACATGCGGTTTGATACGCAGTCAGCTTCTATTTTCTTCCTTCCTTAATTTTTTTTCTTTTCCTCTTTTTGTCCATTTCTTCCTTTCACCCTWCTTTTCCCCTTTTTCTTGTCGTTCAATCAAGTTCAATCAATTCTATATTCTTTGTTGTTGTTTATTTATTTTCTTTAATATCTATTCTCTCTAAGYGTTTCATCTAAGCGTTTCAGTTTTTAGTCTTTTAGCCTCTTCCGCTGCTCCCGATTGTCAAATTTTATCTTTTGCTTTTAATAATGGAAGGTTAGTTATATTTAGATCTCATTATGTGACACCTTTAGCAACGCATGCTGCCGTATAAACACGCTGAAAACCGCGACAGAAATGACATTAGAATAAAACAGCTGTTAATGATAGTGTTACAACAGATACAACAAGATTAGGGAC